TTATAACTATATATGTATATATAGTTATATACAACAATTTGTTGCTAGCTAATCTCGATCGCATATTCTTACTAGACTTCCGAGAATAATTGTTTGCGGTTACACGGACGTGCTTCCAAAACTCGTGGTAGCGGACACCGAACAGAAAGAAAGAGAAAAGTGTTTTGAAAAGTTAACTGGTAAACTAACAGAGTCGTTAACGATGCAGGAAAAATTGGTTAAAGAAAATGCGCAACTGGAAGGTGGAAAGTATGTTTACCTTTTTATAATATGTAAATTTTAAACAAATTTAATATAATATATAAAGCAAACGGATCATATTTTATCTGATGAAAAAATTTCTATGTATATAAATTTACAAAAAATATCTTATATCTGATTATATTTTGAGGTATATAGGTGAGTATTTGAAAATAGCACAAAACGTGAAATTTTAGATTTGTTTCAGATATCTGCATATTTTGAAAATAAACAAAATTTAATTTTTTTAACTAAAATTAAAATAGTTATTATAGTTTTGGGTAAAATAAAAACGATTGTGTTGGTCGACTTTTTCAAAACACTCAGTATGAAAAGAAATTTAATACTTGATAGTTCCCAGATAGCAACGTGTCTGCATTGTTGCTGGCTTATTGCCGACAACATATGTGTGTGTTGCTATCAGAATTGTGGCAACCGAGTCCGCATTTGTCGGCAAGTTGATGCTTTCACGATATAACAATTTTGTATAGCAACTTGCCAGCAACTTGTTGGCAACTTATGCTGCGGTCTAAAATCGTCTGATTCAAAATTCGAACTGTTGCTGTCATGTTGCTGTAATAATTCATAGGATCACACAATGCTGTCATATTGTTAGCAACGCGAAGTAAATTTGATGCTGCTCTCTTACCGACAAATTGCTGGCAATACATATACCCTGCGTGTTGCTTCAAATATTTAATTACGGCAAGTTGCCAGCATCATAAGCAATCACAAGTTTGCGCGATTTTGCTCAGACACGCTTTGCTATCTGGGTTATTTTATTTGCATAATAAATAATAGAAGATCGAATAAAATGCTTGATTGTACGGTTCCCTCGGTGACGATTTCACGATGTTTTCAGCATTAAAGCATGTCAATTATATGTCACTTATACGTAACCCGGTTTTACGGTATATCGATCTCATAACAATGAATTAAATGTGCACGTTGATGGTCATTTCATTTTTGAAAGTTTTATAACATCTTGAGCTTGAAATAATCCCATTTTTTCCCATCTTTTTATCCCATTTCAATTATACGTTCTGATTTTATATAGCAAAAAATTAAAATAAAGTACTTCTGATATTAAAATAAAGTACTTCTGATAATAAACCGAAAGCTCAAGAGTGTATGGAAAGCTGTATTGTCCTGCAAACAGGTACAAGTTAGAAGAAGCCTTATTAGAAAAAGATACAGCTCTCGAGAGTTTACAGAGGAAAGTATGCGGCCTGCAGGCAGAAATGCGTATAATTATCAAAGAAAATATGGAGTTGAGTCGCCAATTGGCCACTTTGAATCAGCTAGTGATTAGACCTACTTGCTGTTACACCTGTCCAGGTGTTACTCCGTCTCCTCCATCAACGTCGCCGGTATTATCCTCGCGTCCACAAGCTAACGCGCAACTCCGGGACGACGTTTACTACCGATGCAAATGCTGTTTTCGATCATCGTTCACTGACACCCTGTCGCCAACTACAGAAACCGCATGCAGTAAGAATAACTAGTATTAATCATAATATCTAGTTGAACCGTTAGAAACAAGATGTTCTGCATATTATTTGTTAAAAAAGGCTTGTGAATGTGATAAATTTTACTAGTAAAGAAAGAATGTTTAATCTCGCAGATTCACCGAGACTTACAGGAGGTGGATCGCCAATCGAGGAGCGTTATCGCACAGATAGCAACGATTTGCAAAACGTGGAGATGTGTTCCCGAGGTCCAACCATTGTCAAGCCATTGCTTCCTCGAGAAACATGTCTCGCAGAATTGGGAGATAAACTTGCGACCTATGGCACTAGCACTAAACAATTAGTAAGTTTTAAGAACTGTTGGAAATGAGTGTAACCCTTTCCATATGTAATAAAAGTTAAGAACATTGTAAAAAAATAATTAAAAAACCTTTTTTAAAGAAGTAATTTTTATATTTTCTTAAATATACATACATCGTGTCATAAATTATGTTCCTAAGAAAAGTGGATTTATTTCATAACTAAAATATAAAAAGCAGCACGAAATATATACCTATTTTATCGAGTATACATTTTACGATGCTTTTTATTTTATTTATTAAATAAATCCATTTTCCTTAGAAACAGAATTTATAGCATGACTATATAGTGTCTGATAAATTATGACACGGTGAGAAGAGATAATAATTCTTACATTTTATACATATTTTCTATTTTAAAACTAATCAATTCTTTATCTAGTATTGTCCATATATCAATTATATGAGGTAGCAAAATAATAAATTCTATTTCTAATGTTCTGTATAAAAATTAGTTAAAAACCGATTGATTAAATCTATAGAATGCAATCTAGAGTTTATTTTACAACTTCAGGAACAACAATTAGGCAGTATGGAAACTGAGGTACGTAACATGCAGATCGAATTAGCAAACGTACAACGGGAGCGACAACAACTGGAACAGCAACGTAAATTGCTCAAATGTACAGGACCTTGCGCACCGTGCGCTTGTTGCCCACCTCCGACTTCGACATGCGTAACACCCACTCTGGGACTTCCGTCTATTTCGTCAAAAGTACCTGCTGTGTCTGCGATGCCTCTCGCTCAAGTATCTATACAGCTTGTATCTATACTATATTATATATATATATATATATATATATATATATATATATATATGTATATATTTTTTATATAGTAGTACATTGTATTTTATCCAAATTTTTCAAGCAATTAATACTCACTTTTCAAATAATATGAGTTTGTACATACGTACCTCTTTTTAATTTAATATATTTTTACAATTAATGTGTTTTTCACAATTAAGTCGTAATATTTTGTTGTTCGTTTTTTTAATTAGAAAATTAATAAACAGCAGCAAACAAAAAGTAATATATTTTTTATATCGAATACAGATAACTACGCAAGCTGTGCCTCCGATGTGCCCTGGTTCTTGCACAAACGCAGCCATGGTAAGACTATAAGAGAATTTATTTTGCACACTTTGGATAATCGCAATAACGTAATTTATGACCGAAGGGAACCAGTACTTGCGCTCAGCAATTGCGCGATCTTCGCGAACAATACGCTCGACTTCAAGATGATTATAAAAGTAAGTTGTGCGAGGTATCGTGTATGAGAACAGAAGCGGAGAAGCTCAAGCAAGATACGCGCGATGCAAAGGAAGAGAAGGAACGAATGGAGATAAAGTTGATAGATGTTCAAGAGCGACTAAAGTTTCTAGAAGCGGAAAAGGGAAAACTCGAGGGTAATTCATTTCACTATAGAAAAAAGAAAAATGGTACATAAATCTCCAATTTAATGTAGGTAACAAAATGCATTAATTTTGAGACAGGTCATAAGGAACATCTCATCGAGCAGGAACAGGCTCTGATGGTGGCAAAGCAACGCTTTCGAGAAGCGCAAGATGAATTAGAGGAGCTTCGTTCTTTGATTCAAGATCAAGCTGCTCAATTGGAGGATTATCGCAATAAATATTTGCAAGTTGGTGTCATCGTTACGATTTTTTAAATAAATTATATTCGACATTTATTCTTAAGCATAAATGATTAAATTATAAAGACAAAATTAATGTGATCTTAGGCCCAGCAACAAGTTGAAGAACAGCGCAGACAATTAGATCTTATGGAAATGGACAATGCGCGAATGAATGAGACTGTTACTTTGGAAATCGGACGTGTTAAAGTATATCAAATACTTAGTTCTAATGCAATTTGTTATTCAAATTATGTAAATTGTAAATATTCTCAATTTATATGTTAATGCAATTCAATCAGAATCAATTTCAAGAAAAATTAGCCGAACTTGCACCGTTGCCCGATATCTTGAAACAGATGCAAATAAAGATGCAGGACGCGCAAAAGATGCGCTTGGTCGCCGAACGTAGTTGCGAGGATCTGTCGCGGGAATTACTAGGGTGCAAAGATAAGATTCAAACCTTGCAAAATCAATTGGACGGATTGCGCAACGAGCATCAGACACTTCAGGTTGCGATTATTTAGCTCGTAATTTGTCGTTATTTCATAACTACAACTTCATAAAAATTTTATTTTTATTAAAAATAATCTCAATCGCTTATATAGGATGAAAGGGGATTCGGATCCGGCAAATCCGAAGAGATGGAAAGAAAGTGCAGCGAGTTGCGAAACGAAAACGAAAGAATAAAAAACACATTGGCACGATTTGAGGAACACGAGGCGCAGATGCAAAAGCGCATTGACGAGAAAATGCATGAGAACACACAGTTGTCATCGATGTTAGAACAGGTACGTATAGACTTGGCGATAAATAAGATTATTCGGGAATACTAAAGTCTCTTTCTGTTTAAGGTAAGGGAGGATTCCGCTCGACAAGTGGCAAGAACAAAGGAGCGATGCGAAACCATGCGAAGATCGATGCAAGGCCAGATCGGCGAAATGGAGAGACAATTGGCTCAGTGTAGAGCAACAGCACGTGCCGCGCAACGGGATAGGGACGAGGTAACTATTGTAGATACTACGTGGAAATGTTAATGGACATAGGAGTGTATTTACGACACATTTCTTGTTGACGTATGCAGATCAGGCAAAAGATGCAAAGTCAAATAACTAACTTGAACGAGGCATTTAAACACGCGCAAGGCCGTATAAAATCGTTACAAGGTCACGTGAACTACCTCAAGACTTCTTACAGTAATATCTTTCTCGGCCAAGGAGAAATACCGAAAAGTGCTTTGCCGGTAGATGATTCGTGCGATTGCAACTATTAAATGTGTGCACATAATTTTTCCATAATAATGCTATATATTTTTGTTCAACACAGCAAAATTAAAATATGCTACTCGACGACGCACACAGGCCTTGTTATGCTTTATATACTTTAAACAATAACATTTTGATACAACTGACAACGTTAATTGATAAATAAACTGTCATCTTTTTTATAAGTATGTAAACTATAAACGACATATCTGAAATATAAAAGACAAACTCAAGAGTCAAGTATATTTACTGTATGGCGATTACTTATTTCATTATTTTTAACACATAACTTAACTGTAATACTTATCGTATACTTATTTCACACAGACTAATTTCTTCACATGGAAAATATATTATGAATGTAGATACACAGCGCTATCTTATTAGAAACTTTAACAAAAAAGTGACATGTATCACCGTAGCTATGCATATATTGGATGTATAAACATATCTCTCATATTATTATATATATTTTATTTAACAAATCGACTATACTTCTTTTATAAGCAATGAAGTATAGGACGAGGCATGGTTCCATAGTGGTTAGGAAAGAAACTAAAACAATCAAAATATGATATATGTACATATGAAATAGAAATAATTAATATTAAAATGGATTCCTTTAGTCTGTATCCACTGAATGAAGCATATTGAGCATATTAAGAATAGCATCTGAACGCGATCGCATCCTTTCCATCTCCGTTCGAAATTCTTCCAGTTGAGATTCAATTCGCTGTGCGTAAATATGGCAGCATCTGTGAACAAGTAAAACAATCTTGATATTAAGTCAAATGTTTAAAAAATAGATATTTATTCTTATTAAAATCTAATATTTCCATTTTTACTAACAAAAAATTGTAAATTTCACAAATAAAAATGTTACATTTATATACCATCACAATTCTGAAACACGTATTAAAAAATTTTTACGAAATATTTGAAAGCACACCTTCCAGCAGGTTGTCCTGAATTAGAACATGATGGTTCTGGAGATGCGCACGGCGAAATTTTGATTTGTGGAGAACAACTCCTTAAATAAGATTCCTTCTTATGCATACAGCTTTTGTTATTACTTGATACATTAGGATTATAGCAATCTCCACACCCTCGTATAAGATCCATTAAAATTCCTCGTACCCTTCTCCCAGTTAATCTTCGTCGTTTCGTCTGAAAAAGAAATAGTTATACTCGTAGTCAAAATTATGATCATACAAATTTTGGAATATTCATAGAACTATTTGTAAACTTACCTCTGGTGTTTCACCTTGTTTTAGCGTTATTAATGGCTCTTCTTCATGTAGAACATTGGGAGACGAGTGATTACATTCATTATATTCTCGATCTGTATTCATTATTAATGGCTCACAAGTTTCTTTCAACGTGTTACAAGATTTATGACTTTCTTGATAATTATCTGAATTATGCAGTGAATGATGACATGCCGTGCAATTTCTACAGTTGTGCTCGTTGTTTTCTGAAGCAATATTTTCATATAAATGCTTGTTAGGCTCTAAATTTTTTGAAAAACTTTGTCGATGTTCCTGGGATGTACTTAATTTTTCTTTGCTACAATTAAAATTATCTTCGAATTTTTGCCTTTCCTTGTGCAAGGAACAATTGCACTTCTGCTCTGACACGTCTGTATTGTGAATGCAGCAGGAATGTAATTTTTCTTGAGGATGTGTTCGTTTGTATCTTAACCATTCTTTACGATGTTTTGAGAGATCACAGTCTTGGCAAGAGGAAATACACGCATTTGGACTTTTTGATTTTTTACTTGTTGAACATACTAAATTACTGCCATTAAATCTGGTATGCGGTGTTTTTTGCCAGCAGTGATAATTTTTATCTTTCATTTTAGTAGATGTTTCTGCCTCATTTTCAGTCTCAGCAGTGGATTCTTGACTGATCTGAAAAATACATTTTTAGTTTGATTATGATAATCTTGAAATATATTTTTTTAAGCTAGAACTTGTAAAATCACTTACCTCTTTACCCCAAATGTTGATTGTTCCGTTTATTTCAGACATTCTTACTTCTACATTACCAAGTAAGTATGGACCACATTCTCGAATACGTCCTTTTTCATTAATAGTCTTATCCTTTTCAGGCTCCTGTGCTAGAATTAAAAAACTACGATCTTTACTGTTTTCATCTTCACGATATACAAAGCATTTTACATTATCATCTGGATCATCAATGGTATCCGTCTTGCTTTCCATTGTAGATGTAGTAGCTCCTAATTGACTTGTATTAGCATGAGATGAATTTGCTTGCAAACCTATATTTTTATTTATCGAATCACATGCATTTTTAAACTGAGATTCTGCATTAGGTATCTCATTTAACTTTGGATGTGATTCCGCAGCAGTTTGGGAAGTTTTAAAGGATTGTAGAAAATTAGGTAGCCCAAGGTGGTCCGTAATCTTTCTTTTCTTGGAGCTAGAAGGTTGACATTGATAGCTATTATCGTCACTTTGCAGATCCATTGTTACACTTTCGTTTAATCTTTTCTTTGAATTTTGTGTCAATGGACTTTCTGGATTTGTTTTCCCCTGTGTAATACTTGAAAGAGTTTGCAAGATTCGGGATGAAGTAATAAATGCGCGTGATAGTGAAAGTGTTGTTTTCCGTGGTGTACCATCAGTCAGTATCATACTATCGTCAGAATGTAATGTTTTTGTTACTTCCGGTGGTTTCATGGATATTGATAAATTACCGGCACTAGAACTCCACTGATCTATAGAACTTAGCGTTGAAGCGACACTACTACCCGATACTTTATTGTTAGATTGCTTGACCTGTGTAGGTTCCGTTTGATCTTGATGTTGATTAGATATAGAATCGATAATAACGTCTGTCTGAACCGATGCAACCTTCTGTTCCGGTTTGTTTTCTTTCTCATATTTTGCTAAGGTTTTTCTCAATTCATCTAATTCCTGTTTCATTTTTATATTTTCCATAAGCTGTTTTTGATATGTATCAAGCAAACCGTTGTATTTTACAGTTTTCTGTGTTAATTTCTTTTGTAATGCGGTAACTTCTGAAGTGTCCAAAGCAGCCTTATTAAATTCATTTGTTTTTTCAAAAGTTATTTGTTCATTATTATTTTTCACTTCATCTGACATCGTCTTAATGCTTTTTATATCCTCAATCCTTAAAGGACAAGTGTCTTCATTATCTGTGGATATATCCATTAGATCTGAATTATATGTTTCAGGTTGAACAGATTCTTGTTCAATAACATGTGCATTTCTATTTAGATCAGTTTTTTGACTAGAATCAGAAGTGCCATGCATATACTCCTCATAACTTAAGGTTCGCAAATTGTAAAGTACCGTTGGTACTTCTTGATGACCATTTTGGATAAGAGGTGGTTGTATAGCATCTCCAAAATGTGAAATTTCTCTGTCAGGGTAATTAAACTTGAGTTGTTTAACTTCGATTGTTCCATTTTGTTTTTGTATCTTATTATCGGTGTTTACAAGATCTCTTTCATTCTGTGTCGACTCAAATGGTATACTTATTTGGACTTCATTTTGTACGGATTCTTCATGTATTGATTCCAAACAATTTTGATTATCTTGTCCATTTAATATCATTTGTGGCGAAGTACTAGCATTGTAGGCCACTTTATCCATGTTAGTGTCGCATATTTCTGCGATTTCCAACTCTTTTATCGTTCTTTCGGCGTAATCTTTTATCGTCTTGTTGGTCGCTGTAGGCTTTGTCTTTTCTGTATCATCATTTTTATAATCGTTACTTATACTGTAAATAGCATCTTCCTGATGCTGTTTTATATGTTTTTCCATAGAACGCCTATTTTGTTCCTTTATATCTTTGATATAACGTTTAACTTTGCTTTGTACATAATGATATTTTCCTGGCATTGGTTGCTTTTTCTGGATCATAGAATATACAATAGCTTGTTCTGGAATGTTTAGATAATTTGGCTTTAAAGCTTGCGAGTGTCTTCTCTTAAAATATTCAGTATTTATATTATTCTCGTACGTATTTAAATCTTGAAGAGAAAGACTCTTTTCCTTGTAACGATTTTTCAATCTCTTATTTAAGATAAAATCATCAGATCTTCCATCGTAATAATCCATCGTAATAGCCTCATAATTATCATCGATACCGTCATCATCAGTATGCATTTGTCTAGGACTGTCTTCATCATCTTCCTCATCTTCGTCGTCTTCGTCATCATCATCCTCGTCATCCATCAAATGCTTCATGTCTCTTGGACGCTCCGAATCAAATTCATTGTCAAGTTCCAAATTTTCCATTTCTATAACAATATAATGATTCTATATAAAGATACATACGAAAAAAAAATTCAATTATATATCAATATTAAGTGCAAAGACATCGTCTATCTACTCGAGATAAACCAAGCCAATCCAATTTCTTTATTATTTGTACATTCTTTTATCAACTTACCGTCGCTATCTCCATACTCTTCTTCATCATCCTCGTCGTTATAAGGATGATCGGTTTCTTCTCCGGATGATAAAACATACACGCTACTCGCTCCTTGATCGTCGCTGGGATATGGGCTCAGGCTCCGGTCTCTGTCCACCTCTCGCGAGGACTCATTCTCTGGCTGTTTCGCGTTAACAACATCCGAATCATCCGGTCTTGTGGTACTGGACACGCTGATATACGTCGGCATTTCCTCGTCCTCGAGCAGAGCCGCGTCCGTCTGATTCATCATTAATTTTACTTCGCTCTTGGATGAGTCGTTAGGTTCCATCGCCTTTGTCTCCGTCTCGGTGTCGTCGGGCGAGTGCTCGCTGTTCTCCGACATCGTGGGAAGCTGTGGGCGAGATGAAACCACGAATTATTATCGATTGGTAACGTATCGCTGTTGATTACCCGACGATCGGAGGCGTCGGGATGACAATGTTCCAGACTTATCTCCGACTCCCAAACGCTTGCTGGCCCGGTGAGTTACGCGGCGCGCGACAGAAAACACTTTTTATGCTTTTTAATCAGCCGCCATTACGGGCCGCGCTTTCGACGTACGTTGTCGCGTCGCATTGTTCGCGACGCGCCATGTCGCGAATGATCCGCGTTCTCGTTTAGCAACGTGGACGGCTAGCGGAACGAACAATCAGCCGTTAGATGTGTTCTCTTTCTTTCAACACCGAGCCATTATTCTCGCAAGATTAATGATCCGCACGTCGCAGGACCGTACATACGTGATGGCGAGAGCCGAGCGGATCTGTCCAGTTTCACCCGCGAGCCTCGCTTGAACCTTCACGCGTCCGCCAGGTTGATAATCGAGGGTTCGATTTGCCTGTCCAAGATTCGAGGATCACTTAAGCAATAACCGGCTTTAAATGTGCAACGGAGAAGTACCTACTTTTCGCACCGCGTATGTACAAACGCACCGCGGTAAGTGCCGAGGTTAACGCCACTCGCGCGCATGCGTGGTAGAGAATCGCACGTATGTAAGTTGTATGTACATACGTACATACGTGCACAACTGCAGGCACACGAGAGAGCTCTTGCGAGTTCGTTTTATCACGCCAATCGATTTCGGCCCTTGGCGCGTACGAAATCCGGAAATTCGTAGCGATTCTCCCTTTCCTCTTTTTTTCCGCGCGTTAACGTACCCGGCATTCCACGCCGATCATCGCCGAACGACTCGTGAAGGCACCGTGCAAACGCGCCCGCGGAAATCCGATTCTAACCTCATTAAAGCGAGCGAACGAGAGTGAGAGAGAGAAAGAGAGAAGCGTCCTTCAAATCAAATCTCGATTTCGACGCATGATGACGGCGAATGGACTCCCTCTCACCGTCGAATTCGGGTAAGGTCAAGAAGATTGGAATTCCGATACGCGACCGCGATTATCGTCGCGCGGGATTAACAATCACGCATTTGATCGAATGTTCGCAGGGGTGGGGCAGAACTGCTGTTCGACGGTAGGAAGCGGCACGAAGTGGACTTACCTGGCGAGGAATGTAAGCAACGTCACGTCGCGAGCCCCTTTGCGTATCAGTGCTCGTTTTCCGTTTTCTCCCCTCGCTAATGTAACCAGTGATTAATTTCGCAGGGACGCTGAAGCGGCTGCTGGGCTGGCTGCGGGATAACCTCTTGACGGAGCGGCCGGAACTCTTTATGCAGGGTGACACAGTGTAAGTGTAAAAAAACTACGTTCGTGCACTCGGAATGCGCGCGTGTTGTCGGACAACGCGGATCGCGTACTACCTCTTGACGTTTCGCGGCCGTGCGTCAAAGAACTCCACGGTGTTTGCGCCGTGCCAGTTGAGCCCGCGCAGGTGGCTGCAAGTTCACTCCGCGCGTAAACGCGTCACGTTTACACACACGGTCCCGTGTGAATGAGTGACATCGGTCGACATCGTGAACAAAGATGGCGGCCGCGCATCGCGCCTATAGGCATATGCCTATGATCATCGACCTATAGTGGCTGCTTTTCATTTAGCGACAAGTCGACACAAGCATCATTCTGTCTTTTTTCAACGGCTGCGTTTCTTTTGGGCGCTCACGCGCTCACACGCGCTGTAAGCATCATTCTATCTTCGTTGCACATCGAATATCAAACGAAGATAGAGCGATGCTTACAGCGCGTGAGCGCCCAAAAGGAACGCACCCAACATCTACTAGGCTGCGTTCGAATTTCCTACCCGAGTGCTATAAATCCTAAGATTTTCAACACTCGGTTGGGGAATCCAAACGCAGCCTAATGGGGGGGTCTACAATGCGAATCGTGGGTCGTGAGTCGTAGGAAATGGACCAATCACAATCGAATTTGAGGAGGATAATCGACTGTGATTGGTCAATTCTTGCGACTCGCATTGGCTGCGTTCAGCCGAACCTCTGCTTAGCGAAGCGAAAGGTAGCAATTAAGTGTAATTGGTTGGATCCAAAGGTAAGAACCAATCACATTCAGTTGCTACCTTTCGCTTCGCTAAGCAGAGGTTCGGCTGGACACGGCCATTGTAGACCCCGCATAATGAACAACAAAAAGATAGCGTGACGCCTGTGTCGACTTGTGTCGCTAAATAAAAAGCATCTAATGAGTCGCAATCGTAAAACGGGGAGCACACACTTCTGCACAACGCATAATGCGTAAGCATAAGAA